CGTCCGCCCGCCCGCTCTCTCACTCGCTCGCCCTCCCGCCCGTTCGCTCCCCGTTCTCCAACCCGCTCGCCCACTTCTCCACCAACTCGTCTGCCCGGCCACCGTTCACACACCCACCCGCTTGCTGCCTGCCCGCCCGCCTGCCTCGGGGACATCGAACTGCAAGCTTTCTTCACTTACGCTCTGGATCACTGAAGGCTCAAAACTGCATCGCGGGTTCCGGTTCCGTGCCACGTTTTATAGCACCTATCCTTCCTTGTGGTTAGTAGCTTGCGACTCAACGTTCAGGTAGGATGCAAGGACCTCTTTATTACCTCACAACGTCCAACCAAGTAACGCATCCGCAAAAGACGCAAGGTTCACGTTGATTTTGAAAAGAATAAACCCCATGTAATTACCGAAGCCTTGTAGAAACATTCATGCTAATAAAATATTTCATGATAAATATAATTCATAACAATAAACTTCAAAGATTTTATTCAGTGTGAAATTACAGAATTCTAAGGTTTTATATTGTAAGAAATTCATCATGTATTAAGATAAGAATAAACGCAATTTAAATTTTAAAATACCTCTTTTCATTGTTAATAAAAAATATTATTAAGAACGAAGAAATACAATTCAAGAACTTATCAAAACTTTAGTACAAAACGTAATACGCCTTATATGAAGTAATAAATTGCTTGTATAATAATGCATTCGTGTTACCGATTTCAACATATATATATATTTCAGGAGTATGTATTTTATTCAGATAGTATCGCCCTCCATCAAAACTAACGGTAGTGGATAATCGGTTCCGACTGCACGCGCCACCCGTTTGGATTCCGCTCGACGCCACCTGCAAGCCTCGTTAACCGCAGCGGGTGTGTACGATTAAACGAAAAAAAAAACACCACCAAAAAACAAAACAACAACTGAGAGTCCGCACGGGGGCAAGCGTCGATCTACATTAGGTGAAATTCAGACGGAAAGACTTTCACGAGTGCTACATTTTTCCAGCGACTCACGGTCATCGTATAAAAACCGAGAGCAGCTCGCCTCGTTTTCTCACCACAATGAAGTACGTACTATCGTTGCTCGGGAATGCGGGGGAGGGCAGAGAGCGAGGGGGAGGACAGAAGACGAGGGTGTATACGAAGAGCGTGCAAACACCCACGCCCTTGTGTGAAAATGGGGCGACAGAAAAAAACAACGACGAAGAACGAGGAAGTAAAAACAAAGAATAACAACTCAGATTTTTAATTAGCGATTAAAACTTAATTTAATTTAAGAGTCTGATTTGTATTCGGTTACACGACCTTAATGAAAACTTTAGTGCTGTAGTGGACATTTATGATAGGATTAAATAAAATCTTAACCGTTGCTCGAGAACGCGTTTTTTGTTTTGTTTTCATTCTCTTCCATTATTCGAGAAAGAAAACATTACACATCTTTCCCTACTGAAAACAAGCTTAGTGAGGCGCATCCGGAGAGTTTAAAAAATTTGTTACAAACGTTGATAATAATAAGAATCTTTAACCAGCGCAGTTGCCTGGTTCGTTCACTCTTGAGGCGATAAAAAGTAGCCACAGGCATACACTTTAAAAATATGTTGTTTTTTTAAAAAAAAATTACGTTTAACTATCATAAAACTGGCAACGGACCAGGAAACAAAATGAAGTTCTAACGATTCCTTGTAGGCAGTGTAGTATGCACAGAGTTTCACCTCTCCAAGTGCCTTGACACCCCCAAAAATATTTATTCTAGAAATGTTTATTAAATTTTAGAAGGATCCGGCTCAGTAAAGCTATTCAAATCTTCTTCTCGGAAAGAGTTATTGATTGCCACTGGAGGTGTCGTAAAACTCCGAAAACGAGTATTGTGCGCTTGAAGCATTCAAAATTGCGTATTACGTGTTTAAACCCCCCTCCCAAAACATGTTTATTTCGAGAATTTTCTTTTAAAGTCCTGGATTGAAGGGGGTGGGGTGGGGTGGCATCTCCCCCCCACCACCAAAACACAGACACACGCCAAATGACACCCTACTTGCAAAGAATGCTGGTTCCGAAGAGGGCTAGCCGTAACGAAGAGGGCTAGCCGTAACAACCACGCACTTTTATCCGGTTGCAAAACCCGGGAATGGTAGGCGGGTGAGAGTTCGGTAACTTCCATGACTCTGTTCTGGCTTGTTTTGGAACAGAAACTCTTCTTACATCGAGGGCATCCTGAGAGACTTCACCTTCGAAGAACCTGACAAAGACGGTAGTGGGCGTGGTTAGGTAATGGAATTACGCCGTGGCTGTACGTGGTCGGTGCGCTGTCGTCACAGAGAGGTCGGCGGTGACAAGAAGCCACTTCTACTCTCAACGCTGCGACTGCCATCGCCACTAACGTCATCACTAGGGGGCGAATTTTAATGAAATGTCATCTTTTTTTTTCAATTTAGACATATCCGTTTAGTATAGAAATTCATTTTAGGTCATGCACAAAATGACCCATTATACACAATTGTTTTTGCATTTTTCGTCAATTCTTGACTAATAAATCCTTTTTTACCTGTTTTATGTAATTTTTAATACATTTCGCTCAATTCAACGATTTTAAATTTTTATGGTACTTGCTTCAAACAATATTCACGAGGTTGAAACAAATGTTCACCAACCAGAATTCCTGAGTAGCCTATTCGATTTCTTCGCTCATATGTGGTAGTCAGCCTTTGTGAGTACTATGTAAGATAAGGTTCCTGTGACGCTAGTCGACGCCGTTGTTTGTTCGGGCGATTTCGCGATAAATGAATGCAGATATTTTCTTTTAAAGAATGTGTAAACTATAAGTTTGCAGGCGGAGATCTCTTGAACAAAGGACGAAGCCTCAATTCATCAGTAACATTCTCAATGGCTTGAGTTGTTCATCTGAAGTAGTTTTGATAAATGTTTTACGTCATTTTGTTTTTTGTTTTAGGCGCTTTAAAGCATTTTAAGAGCATTTTATTGATAGCTTTTGGCAATGTTTTAGGTCGTGAAAGTCGGCCTCCTAGTTACACCAACCCCACAGCCGTGCTGGCGGGATTGCCATGCCGTCGCCACGTCAGCTCCACCTCACCGCCACACGATAGCAGTGCCATCGTCGCCCAACGACACCGACCACTACGGTGCCTCTGCCAAGTCGTTTATGCCGCTTGCTCTGCCATCGACTCTGTCAACGTCACCACTAGTACGTTCGCCTCTGCCAACGTCGCAACAACACCACCGGCGGGCTACCGTCTCCATCGCCACCGCTGCTAGCTGTGTCATCGCCTGCCATCGTCACACCACCACCGTCACTGCTAGTAGCTGTGCCATCGACCTGCCAAGTCACCACCAACCCATTGTCACCGCTGTGCATCGCCTTGCCAACGTCACTAACCTACCAGCACACTGCCACCGCTGTGCCATCGCCCTCTGCCACCGTCACCACCGTCCACTACTAGTAGCTGTGCCATCGCCCTGCCTCCGTCACCACAACCCCAGCGCCGCCGCCGCCGCGGTCGCCGTCGCGGGCCGCGGGCGCTTGGCGTCGCTTTCTCATGCCCCAGCTCCGGGAGGACTTTGACCCACTTCGCCGCCGAAGAACCGGCCGCCGCGCCGCGGCGGCGGCGTACGCGCCGTGCTGTGAATGAAGGCGCGCCTGCCGCCGCGGCAGGCGTCCGACGCGATGGAACGCCCGAGGGAATTCGCCACGCGACTCGTCCCCCCCCCCCGCCTCCGACGCGAAGGGCCCAAGCGCGCGTTCCCGGAAGCGCACCTCGCCCGGCCCCGGAGGAAGCAGCGAGGTCTCTCGGGGCCGCTCTTTTCAGAAAGCGCCCACCCACTTCGCAACCAGTATTTTTTTTTTTAAACGTTACTTCTTAGAGTGTTTTGGTTACTTCTTGCAGAGTTTGTAAGAAAAGTGATTAAAAATGATTCTACCAAGAAATGGAAGCAAAACTTTTTATTACCGAGGTGTCAAACTATGAATGGAGCACATAACATCGAGGCCAATAAAGATTAAATGCGTTTCCAATTGTCTTTTGATGCTGAACTAGTTTTATTATTGTTATTTTCATTCAGTGAAAATGACCGGACCCTAAGTTAATAACCACTCCCAACTGAAAACAATGCATGAAGAACTGTGTAGGATTTTTATATTTAACACATTGAGACCATATTTTCCTATTTTGTTCGATTACTATTCCTAAAAAATCTGCTAATTTATTTTAATTATCAAATATTATATATATATATATATATATATATATATATATATATATATATNTTAATAGGACAAAATAGAAAACAGAGTCTGAATGTTTAAAATCCAAAAGAATCTACACAGATCTTCATGTCTTGTATTTAGTTGGAAATGCTAAAATGCTATTAAACTAAGGTCAAGTCATTTTTACTGAATGAAAAAAAACACACACAATAAAACTATTTGTGCTTCAAAAGACCATTCGAAAGGCATTTAATCTACATTCATCTCGATATTATGTGCTTCATTCATAGTTTGACATCTCGGTAATGAAACGTTTTGCTTCCATTTCCTGGTAGAATCATTGTTAACTACTTTACTTACTACCCTTAACACAATTGTAGATAATTGAGACTATTGTTATTGTTTAAATTTGACAGTTAATCTGTAGCACCCAATACAGTTCCAGTGAGAAATGGGTGTGAACTCTAAAGAATAGAACATCACAGCCCACATCGTTATTCAATAAGGGAATTTCATTCTATCGGTAACATTTTTACAGATATAGTCGTTTTAGGTCAGCACCCGACGTTTGGACAGATTCTATAACAGTTGAGTTCTGCCACAAAACCCATCGCTCTGCGAATGAGATTCTTCCACCACCCAGATGTGCTGAACCGCTCAGGCTGATAATACGTCAAAACGTCAGTTCAGCCCGTGCAGAATGGTATCATTCAATCTCCAATCATACGTTTTGGGGAAGGGTGTTACACATTCTCTATAGTGGCACGATGAAAGGTTTAAAGAGAGCTACGTCCTACATTAACTAATTTCAAAATAGGAAGTAGCGTTTAAGTCCGGAACCAGTTTTCACCTTCAAAAGGAACACGCATTTTGTAAAGACATGAACCCCTATCATTTCACACATACAACACGATTGAACAATGAAAACTACGAACTCGTACAAACAATGACACATTTCTTAAATTTACAGTTTTAAGACGAATTTAGCAGTTGCCTGCCAGTTGCAGTACGAATACTCGGAAAATGGGAAGGAGAAATAAACTAAAAAACAATGACATCTCAAAAGTTAATAGCTAATTTTTCCTGGTTTGGTTTTTAAGAGTATAGACAATTTTACTTTTAAGCCATTTAAAATGATGTACACATTTTACTTCTAAGACAAAAGTAGAACAAAAACGATAAATTTAATGGTTGAATGCGGTTATATGAAGGTTGACGCTTATCTTGCTTACAACAGACGTATTATAGAACGAATAGCACTTCCAACAAATGCTCATTTTTATTCTCTTTCTCAGTTAATTTGCAATATGAACGGAATTTTATTTTATATCCAGCATTTAATTTCTGATTAATCGGAACAATTATTTTGAGATTCGAAATGAAATTACTTGTGCCGTCCATGAATGGGGTTCCATTTTTATGTCACATTGTTTGAAAAATGCAAGGGGAAAAAATGCAACACGCTATAACGAAAAGTGCAATTGTTATTCCCGGATTGACGAAGTGCACATGTGGGAAGTGTATCTTTAATTCTTGAATTAAATGTGGAAGTGTCTTCCAGATAATAAATAACATATACTATTAATAAGAGTAATATTAATAATAATAATATTAATAATAAATAATATAAGAAAACTTAAAAATTAAACCCAGTTATTTGTGGGTATAAAAACAGCCAAGGGTGACAAATATACTATTGTGTATGATTTTCGTTTAGAACATGCAACGCCCTAGTAAAGGTAGGTGCGCCTGCAAAGCCATCTATGTGCACGTTTTACGAAAATGAGTTATGTACACTTAAAAGAACAAGAAACAAATTGAACAAGAACAATGAAAATCCTTAATCCTACGTTATTTGTAAGAAATGTAATAAAATACGCCAAACAAAGAAAACAATTATTTGCGTTTTCTCTCTCCTGTAAAACGGCATGGCCACGACGCAATTAATGCAAATGACATACAACCTGTGTCACGGATCTAATTCATTAACAGTAAAATTCCACGCAATCGAGCGACCCCGAAGCGCTAACTGGTACAAGTTCGACGCCAAATCGACCTTGTGGATTTATCATCATCCGAGTAGTTACTTGTTATCTCCGAATGCGAGTCTCCACCCACAAACAAAAAGCGGCGGCCGTGAAAAGAAAGAGAAAGCAGCTTCGCCAATCGCAAATTACCACACATACACATGCGCGCGCGCCCTCGCAAAATTTTAATTTTATCACTCTGTTACGCAACGTATGAAAGAAATGCGCATTCCACAGATGGTATCTCTCTTCTCTAAGCCTGTGAGGGGCGTCTAATCGCCGTGGTTGAACATTTGTGACGGCCGCACTCGCCATGAACACATACCAAACTAGCGATCTTAAGCTAGCAGACCCAGCTTTATCTGAAACTAACGGAACAAAGCTATCTGAAAAAAGAAAAAAAAAACGGAATACACCAAATATTCAGGAATATAACACTTACGTGTTACACTATCATTTAATTTCCAAATGTTTTAACAGCTTTTACGTTTTCTACGTGTTATTGTACGTGATGTTCCAACAGAATTTAGATTTAGGCCATATCTAAACTAACTCACCTTTTGAAAAATATGGAGAGAGACTAAAATTTCGGATCAGCGAAGTCTGCCTTTCATTCTCCATTAGATTTTGTATTTTGTTGTCGTTCCGCCAGCTTTATACTGTTCATATAACTCATATTAACAAGCCTTCCTAATTCAATTTGAGATAAGGCAGCAGGGAACTACGTGACGAAGCAAACGGGCAGCTTAGGAAACGTGCATTAAAACCGCACATAAAAGGCATGTCGAATGCCGATAAGGACTGTTCTAAATAAGGAAAAGATCGTTCTCAGGTGCGGTACACTCCACTGACATCTGAAGAGCTTTTAGAGAGATTTGCATCCGCATTCACAAACATTATCTTCTAGTTATAACAACAGAAGTTTGGACGACTGACTATGCAACAAAGCTGAACCAAGATGCGGGCCATTTTCTTCTAAACTTATTTCGTTGGTGGTAAAGTCTTAAACTCTTATCAATAATATTAATTCCAACTCAAATGTTTTCATTCGATGATCACAGACCATTACAGAGATATTGTTGCTAGATCTTATTTTCAATCAAACCTTATCAAAATCGTTTTACAATTGTAGTAAACTATCAGAAAATGTTGTTTTTAATAACACATTTTTTCTGGCCCAATAACAAGTTTTCTCGTAACTCGGCGTTTAAACGTCGGGGTAAATAGATGAAAAATATCATTACGTACGAGACACAAATTGGAATTTCTAAAGGCAACCGCGTTTAACTATCTCTGTCTATGAAAGGCAAATGCTTACACGTAGATAATTACGTATCCGTGTTTTAAACGTAATTATGGCTAAAATGATAACTATCTTGACCGAATAACCGAGAGGTTATGCCCTAATGCATCTGTTTTAAGCGCCTACTGTATCACGACATTTTGACGTGATTATCTGGAGATTGGTGTTTCAATTTAATTTTTCATATCAGTTTACTTTTTACTTTGAAGACTATAAAAATAGTGACTTTTCTGGTAAAAGTAATAACGACGGAATGTAATGATGATACGGCTCTCTCCGCAAACACGTAGAACTTCCAATTATTACAAATTTATACATTTCGACTACCAACGTCTATTGCATCTCTCAAAAACTCTAACCCAATTAATGTTTTTCGAATATTGGATAAAAAATTCCCTTGAATAGTTATAATGGTCTTGAGCATTGCTACGGAAGTCGAAATGTAACTAAACGGATGCAGAATAGTCAAACAAAAAAAGGTCCCGTTTCTTTATTAAGAAAGACCATGTTTTGAAGACGTGTGTACAAAAACCCGAGAGTGTTTCATAAGACACATTGTAAGAGACGCTTACACGTTATAAGAGGCATTCCCCTTCAATTTTTTCTATTTCATATAACTGCTTACAGAGGGTTAGATTCAACGACCTCAAGGATTTACTTTGATTTAAAGTTGAAAAACATTATGTAACATTAAAAAATCAGATGAAGCTACTAGTAAAATTAGTGTTAGTAAAATTAATATTTTTACACAACTAAATTGTATGTAATAAGAAAATAAACAGATTGATGTAGAGTCGTTTTCCACAATTAAATTACATAGAATAAGGACGTACACTGATGTAGGGGACTATAGTAATAGCTTCACTGTTAGAGCTTATTTGTATCAAACAATTTTGAAACACATTTTATTGTTCAAATTTGTTTTTTTTAAATTTCGGAGAGTGAATGCTCTGCGCGTACAGCCGTATTATTCCATGCACACACACGAGACAGGCCCGCATAAGACACGCATCAAGAGACAATAGAGAGCATTTGCCTCCGAGAACAAAGCGCGAGTGAGCGACGAGATTCGCTGAGGTCCGGCAGGCGCTCTCCACGGGAGGGAACCGGGCGGCCGCTTCCCAGCACTGACGCACGGAACAGGCCCACACAAGACCCCATTGCGTAACATCGAGAACGCTGTTTACGCGTGAAATACATTCAAGGTACGTAGGGAAGATGTACAGCCGCTACGCATCAGCTGTCAATACTAATAAGATAAGAAGAGCACAGTGAGTGGGTACGGCAGCTGATTCTGTTACGTGTGAATCACTATGAGGCTTCCTATGTCATGTGAAATAATCACATTGGTTATTTCAGAGTACCATATCAGAGTACCATATTCTTAACGTCAACAAATTGCGAAAAGTGAACACCCACCCACCCACACACACACACACACAGTTCATCTCTAACTGTTCTGAAAGCATGAACACACGAACATGTAACAACATATGGCTTGAAATTTTATTAGAATGAGAGACCCAGGTGATTTAAGGAAAGTGCGATTTTAATAATTAATTTATTTGATTCAAGTTTTCTAAGCACACAGAACACTTGCTCCAAACCAAGAAAATATTCTTTCACTGCCTCCAGCAAAAAATGTGGAATGAAATGTAACTTTAGCTACCCTTTCCATCAAACGCGTAGTTTTGTTATTCCAAATTCTTCCAGACCGATTATTAAGAATGGGAAACATTTCTAGTACGAAGAAACAAATTCACACACATTCAAAACAATTCAAGATTCACGAACCAATTTTGTGATTGCTGTAAGATTAAATCGCGGCGGAAAATAAAATTATTCTAAGGTCGAAGCAACATTTCAAGGGCACACTTACATTATTACAGACAAAACGAGCAAGCATAGCCATTATGGAATTTATGTGAGTATCATTTTTTGAATACCTACGTGATCTTTCAGACAGAGTGATATGAATATCAATGAATCCATCTTCAGATAAGAGTGTTGATAAAGGAGGGGAAAACCTATTACGCAAAATTCAGAGTTAAAAGAAAACGTACAAGTACTAGCTCTTCCTAAATGGCAGTTTTTCTGGCACGTATTTGATTGAGGCAGCATCATTAAACAGTTACATCTTACACAAGGAGTTTTCAACCCATTACATTCACACTGCAATGCAAACCACATTTATTCTGAGTTGGTAACCGGCAGTGGGCGTATGACGAGATTAATCAATTATCGCATAGAACCCGCTATTACTGGTTAGCGAATTAATATATTTTCAGACATCACCTACTCTGGCTTCAGAATCAGTCTCATTAAAAGTAGGTATACAGAAGTTTTGCTCACAAACACATCTAAACGAATAGCTTCCCCTGAAACGAACGCACACTGAGAAAGAAAAGTGGCAGTAACCCGGTTAGCACGCCAACAAATCTGATAAGCCGCAGCACTTCAACTCCGACAACAAGGAATCCGCCCAGCACTCCTATCGCAACCCTCTCCACGCGGAAAGCGTCCACCTGCTAGCTCGTGCAAGCGCACGTCGCAACCGCTGCAACCGCAAAGACCTACCTGGAAGCCCATGAATCCCGTGAGGAAGTACTTCTCGAGGCGCGACGACGCCAGCTCGGCGGCGTCGGCCGCGTCGGCGCCGGCGGCGTCGCAGTCGCTGCGCTGCGTCGCGCCGCCCGCCGCCGCCGCCGCGTCGTCCCCGCCCAGCGACTCCACGCCCTCGCTGTAGATGGAGCTGCACGAGTCGGACGAGTCCAGGTCCTTGGCGGCGGCCGCCGCCGCGGCCAGCCCCGCCGCCGTCGACGCCGCCGCCGCTGACGCCTCGCCGCCCAGCCCGAAGAAGAAGTACTTCTCCAGCTCGGAGGCCGAGGGCGGGCGCTGGCGCCGGCTCGCCGCGCCGCCGCCGGCCGCGCCCTCCTCGGGGCCTTGCTCCACCTGCGCAGCGCCACGCACCCGCCGCTCACGCCCGCCGCCCGCCCGCCGCCCAACACACGTGGGGGCGGACAGAGCGAATGCGCACAAGGACTCGACGCTTAATTCAACAAGTGGCGCTAAACCTGCACGTACTTTCTCGCGTGATCCTACAATTACAATTATGAAGATAGACATTTTTACCTTAATGAAATCTGACCCTTCCAAGATAGATTTTGAAATAAGGTCATGTACAATTTTTTCAAAATTTGAGTACTTTCTCGCTCGTACTTTCACGCACGATTACGCGAAAAGAACTCAAATTTTCGAAAAATTGTACATGACCTTATTTCAAAATCTATCTTCAAGGATCAGATTTCATTAAAGTAAAAATGTCTATCTTCATAATTGTAATTGTAGGATCACGCCCGAGCATGTTGAATTTTAGCAATTTTTCGAAAAATTAGAATTTTCAACGAAAATGTCACGTGCACTATTACCTTAAAAATCCTTCACACAATACAACAACAAAATTTAACCAAAATGATGGTGCCATTTTTTTTTAATTTAGAAAATATCCCAGGGGCATCATGTAAAGTACCCCCCAAAATTAAAAGGCCTTTTTTTTGGGGGGGGGGGCAAGATTGTCAGTGAACTCAAGGTCTAAAATGCACGGGCAGCGGGAGTATGTTCTTGTCCATACTTATTATGTTACACGATAATACTTAGAAACTACGTATTTATATATTAATTAACTGTTTGAGCATTGGGGGGGGTGCTTCAACTGGTCACTGGCGTAGGGGGAGTGAGAAAAAGTTGAGAGAGCCGTAATCAGGGCCTCAAAACATACTCGCCAGAAGCGAGCAGGCGGTGAGTTTACAATACGTACAAGGTAGCTTTTTCCTATTCTTACGTTGTGACAGAGCTTAATAAAACAAAGTTTAGCTATTGACGGATTCATTAATGAATGGATCGGCGCACGGTACGAGGCCCATTGTGTAGTGTGTTGCGCCTGCATGGGCCAGCAAGTCCTCAAGGAAAACTACTGATCACAACAGTGGAATACGCGCCTAAGAATTCCATTCGGTCGGCGATACACACTCATTGATGGCCCACATTAAGCATAATTCTGGCAACTTGCCGGGATCAAACCCGCGCTTCCCCATTACCGGTGTGCTCGGCAGTGTGCCGTTACGTTTTCGCTCACCACTACGTGCATAGGAATGGAAGTTTATGATTGAAGGAATCGGAAGGTGGTATTATGCCACTTCGATGTGAAACTTTGTTATAAGGAAATGTTACATGTAATATAAGTATTCTGCACCAAAATTTACTATATGGTTGAAAGCCTACGGCCCGAAAAGATGGTAATATCCCAATGTTCGCCAAAATGTGACATAGGACCATCTGATCCCAGGCACTTAATACATATTATTGTTTTAATTATTATTAGTTCAAAATGTATTTATAATTTTGAGCTAGAGCTTTTCCAACATTTGCAACAAGCAATAGAATGAAAACCGCCAGTGCTGTGAATAACGGAATGAATTTGTTTTCTTGACCGTCAAATAAAATCCGCATTATTTTACAGTACTGCTTGGGACCGTCCAAAAGATACTTCCTTAAATGCACTCAACCAGACAGGCAATATTGCCCACAAACTCCTCTTATTCTGTTAAGATTTTTAAGGAAAAACATCGAGATGTGAAAATAATGATCTTTAACTTTTGGGATATTGTCTATTAAACTACAAATTATTTTGTAATATTAAAAGTGAATACAATTTCTTGGTCATCATTAATGTTACTTTATGTTCAAGATTAATCACCTTCACTACTTCACTTAAACACTATACACATTTTTTTGCAATTGCCCCGAAGAACAAAGACTAACAGACGCAAGCAAACACATGCAAGGCGTTACACTTTTGTATTGACTAGTCAGAACCTAAACATGAATTACTTTTCACATATTCACAAAACGAGAGCTAGAATACTTCATAAATATATTCAGGCATTTCTTATTCTGTATTCTAACGATTTCGCACGCTGTAACAAACAACGAAGCTGTTTTGTTTGTCAGGTTTTTCCACATAGGCAAAGAACAACCCCTTGTGGCCACTGTGGTAGTCAAATCCTTGTTTAGAGGATCTCGGGGGAAATCATATTGTGGGAGCCAGCTTTAGGCTTTAGGTCCAGCACAAAATTCTCCAGTCTTGAGGCAACAATGTGATTTGCCTCAAAATATAACATCGAATTGAGAGAAGGCGATTCAACGTTGTCACTCGTGTCAATCACGTCACATCTGACAACGCGTATTATCACTTCAACGGAAGCTCAACCCAAATTCAGCTACATGAGTGACAACAGAAAGTGACTCTCAAGCAAGATTCTCTTTTGTGAATAATGTAATAACACATTTGGCGTAAAACCGTAGCTAAAGATTGAGGTGATACCAAATAAATATGTGCTTGACTCCGACCTTGTAAAGACTTGGATTAACATGGGCCCCTCAAAGCGCTCTCTTTGTTTATGTAAAGAACGAGCATATGAGAAAAGAACGATTGCAAGCAACACATGATCTGAATTGGCACACAACACACGTTCTTATGTACGATAAACACCACGCTTCTACGAAGAATCGAAATTGGAGCAGCCAGAATGACGCAACAAGGACATTCATTTCACTATCGTTACCACTAATTTCTAATTGTATTCTATATCAAACAAGAGTAAAAACGGTTGGCAAATTTCCAAATATGACGACTTTTTATTTTTGTTTTGATCTAACATGCGGACATGCTTATGTCTTCCCACTCAACGATACAATTTTACGCATATCCCAGTTTCACGTAATCACTTTCTAATTAATGAACAATGATATTTGGGGGAAATATAATCAACATAGACCGATACATAAAGACACTAGGATGACTATAGTATAAATAGTTTTATCAAGATAATATTGTAAACATGAAAACTTAAAGACTAACCATGAAAACACGACAACTGTCTAAACGGGTCCAGCCAATTAAAAAAACAAACTGTAGTTCGCAGTCATTTTGATTCAAGTATGTTATATACGTAAAATAACATTATTGATGTTAAGTCTGATCAGATTGATTATTTTACAAAACTGTTGAAGTGCTTTGAGGATTCAATTTATTCAAAAAACTACGGTATATTATGGAAATGTATTCTAATAAAATTGTATGTACAGAATATTTTTAATTTTTCAATTAAAGTGAGTTTCGGAATTAATTAATTCGCACGTATTTTATAGGGTATAATAAACGGTTAAACTAGTCAATTAACATCTAATGACATCTTCATAATTATCACAAAGTTATCGTATTTTTAAACTTTTAATTACAACAGACGCGAAAAAAGAATGAGGAAATGAAAAATTGCAACGGAAAAGTTGACAGTAAGTCAATTTTTAACGCATTGAAATTGTTAGACGCAGTTTTTATTTATTAAGCTTCTTTTATTCTTAGTTTTAATACCTTTTGTATTTTAATTGTAATTTCGAAATTCTTGCAAACGAGTAGTTTGATTAAGACTTATGGACATAATAAATGGTTTAAGATTACAAGCTAGATAATATCGAATGAAGGACCACACTTAATCGAATACACATCAATGAACATTCATGGCTAAGCTCTTTAGATGAGCATCGTTACATAAATTTTACATTTTCAAGTATTTCGTGGATTCGCAAAAATCACGGACCACTAACTTTTCAAGATTTATCTTGATACATTCATTTTCGAATGGCAACGCTAATGAAATTGGGGAGCTTATGATGAGAGCGTCTTCATTAAAAAGGCATTTCCAGCAACGCTATATCACTCACAGTAACAGGAACATGTTTGGAAAGCTTCGTTAATAGTACATCTCTTCTCGTTATATTTCCAGATTATTAGCAAAGATCGAACCGGTTAGTATAGGTGTGGCAGTTACGTAACAGTTTCAGACTGCTGATGTCATAGGTTTTGAATCCCTACAAATGACAAAAATTACACACATTTCTAGAATAACGAAGGATGCACGCCTCCCGTTTTCCACAGTAAATGTAGATTTGATAATTACACTCAAGAATAAGAAAAATTACAAAACGTAATATTACGAAATATGCTAAAATTCAAAAGTTCAACAGTAATAAAGCGTTATTTTAAATATGACTTTTTTTCGATCGCTCTATAAGTAAAGAAATGTCTGTAGTCGATCCTACAATTGATGTTTAAAGCAATAAATCAAATACGAGAAATGTCAGAAGGCTGCTTTTTATTACAAGGTTAAAAAAAACTTCGATAGCATCAAATTTACAATTCGATTCACAATTTCATCATTTAAACTACGGATAAAGCATATTTCTTTAACGAGACTCTCAAAAACACAAAGAATAAGCATTCCACCAGCATAATTCTAGTCTAGTGTGAGTACTTACAATAAAATATCTATTTTAATTTACTTCGAAATTTTCGAGAGCACAGGCACATCTAGTTAAATATACTCAAATTTTACCTAGGCTGTCTTACACTGGCGTTTGGTGCATACGCTTCCGGCCATTGCGGTGCAAGAAATACTTTACTTGCAGATAAGTGCGCGTAGAAAGTGCGGAGCGAGCCGGTGCGAGGGGAGTATGAAAGCCACTTTCGTGCGATGTCTTCGCGGAAATGAGAGGCGCGCAGACGGACATGCAATGCTACTGTACGAGCTTTGTTCAGTTCATTAGGAGGAACGTTGTACATCCATACAACTCCAGGCACCTACATCCCTCACTTTGGAACAAATATGGGAGTGCATTCTGAATAGATGATTATGGTTCTTTTCTGTTAAAACGTTAGAAAATGAACGGACTCACGTCACGAGAGGGAATCACAGTCTTGGACTAATAAAGTGTGTCGTAATATTAGGTGTATGAAGGCCATTTCGTCAACTACCAACACGACGTACTAATTCAAAACGATCATTTAATTTAAGATACATCTTTATTTTTCAGTTTATTTCTATTGAATAAAAAATTTAAGACGGGTGACAGATATTGAATATGATTTTGATAATGTTAATTATTACATTGCTTATTAGTTAATGCCAGGCCAAATATTAAGTTCGTAAGGCATCACTTGATGTAATAGTATGCCTCTCGTAAGTGCATTACGCATTTATTCTTGGATTATTTAACTAGCTTTTTACGCGAGGGGTCACAACCCCCAAGGTAAGTACTATTCCTTTGTTCTATGCCGTTGATATTAGTGCCTTCAAAGTTTCGATTGTATTCGTATTAGCATTTTCACAGGTCATTCGAAGTCTGTTCCCACAGCATGTGTGTAGAGCAGGAAATGAAATGTTGGTTTCTACGTTCGAACGATACTTAACAGAAAATTATTCTAGAACATTGTTTTCTTGAAAACATCCTAGTGAAAGAAAACAGAAATTGGGAAATAAAGTTACATAAAATTAGTTTCAATGTTTATATATAAAAAAATTTACTAGTCCCAAGAATTTAATATTAAACATTCTTTACGTTTGTTGTGTATTTCTTTCATAGTGGATGACAATGTGAGGCTTAAGACCGTCACTCCATTTATTCCAGAACCATTTGACTAAGTACCAAAACTATATTTTTTAAATCAATAAATATTCAACGTGAAAGGATATTGAATTCAAGTTCTACGTCAAGACAAACTTTTAAATTGACTTATGACAATGCGACGGAATCAATGTTCTATATTCGAGCACCTTCAAGTGCAACTATGTATTACTACTACGTAACCGTTGGAAAGAAAATCAATGTTGTCATCTAGCATTTCCGTAAACATGAGTTGAAACTGAGGTCCTCAGAAAAAACATATTCTACATAATTTCTATTACTTTTTAAATTTCTCGATTTTCAACTAATTATTGGCAAGAAACGTGTGGGTAATGTGGTAAATGCATCACACAGTTTGGAGACATTTCGGACCGTTAGGTAGACCTTTTTACACGGCTTTCACCGTCAAATTATATAAGTAGAAAATATAATTTTATCTTGTAAGCTACACTACTACCATTAAAACCGTACAATTCTGACAATAATAAGAATGCCAAATGACACATTAAGAGCCGAATCGTTCGCAAACTCTTAACTTAAGAATTAATTTATATTCCAACACAACCTACTTTCAAGGCTCCTATTAATAAGCATTTCTATTCATCGTCGATAAGTTGTCATCATCTTCTATAAATAGAAGGCAAACAGAGTCTGCCCGAACGAGTCATTAAGGCCGAAACGGATTTTACCCCGTCATCCTCAACAGCGCACACAGCCCATGCGCGCGCGAGCGTTGCGCAAGTCGCTCCGCGCCGGCCCACACACACACTCACACACACACGCACACACACACGCACAGGCTCAAAAACACACGCTCTCACACACACGCCCACATACACACACGCTCACACACACACTCACACACACACGCGCTCACTCACACGCGAGCGCACACACGCGCACACACACCCACATGCGCACACGCACTCACCCACACGCTCACACGCACTCACCCACACGCGCACACGCACTCACCCACACGCGCACACGCACTCACCCACACTCACACGCGCACACACACACGCGCACCACACGCAAGTGCGCGCGCACACACACACACAGACGCGAGGCGCAGTTAGTCGAAGGCGCTCACCTCGCTCTCCTCGCAGCTCTCCTCCAGGATGGTGTGCAGCGTGAAGTCGATGGCCATGCGGTTGTAGCCGCGCAGCTCGGCCTCGCGGTCCGAGTAGGCGCTGGCGGCGGACAGCGTCGCCTCGTCGTCCGACGACGAGTCCTCGGTGGCCGTGGTGGTGGCGAAGTCCTCGTTGCGGTCGTCCACCTCCTCCACCCACGAGTCGTCGTCGGCCAGCCCGTCCTCCAGGCACACGACGGCCGACAGCGTCTCCTCCCCGGTCACCACGCGCACTTCGTTCGAGTTCGTGTTCGAGACGGTCGAGTCTTCGTCTTCGCTGCG